TTGCATGGCTTAGCACACTATGATTATAATCATTATAACAAACGGTGGACCGCATTAGACTTGCACTGTGGCCAAGACGTGACTAGAGCACTTCCTACCCGTTTAAGTATTCTTCTTGCTGTTATATTCAACTTTACATCAATAGTGCATTGTTATAATTACTGTGATTATTGCACGGCGTAAATGTGCAAAAGTACTCTGTAATAATTACATTGTACCAATGTGTTATGGACACAACAACAGTAACGAAGCGAACAAAATCTCAGATGCAGTAAAAAGGCGTGAGTCTTAAAGCCGTGGGAGTTGGGACCATTGTTTTTATACAAATATTGTACTTACAATTTTTAGAATCATATTTGTTATTTAAATATAATAAAAGCGGATAGATTCCGCCTCATTGTCCCTAATGCCGCTTAGCCACTGTTTGGGTGTTAATAAAGTATTAGATTACACAATACACAGGACGGTCGATTTGAACAACTTACTATCATATCTATATTATTATGTTTTCGACAATTCCGAGTTTTCTAGCATCGCAATTATTTTTAAGTGGACATACCGTGGATGAAATTGTAAATGCTGCCACAGGGACTAAAATATAGGATACGTAAATATGCAGAAATAAATAACAATAAACTTGATGTCAACATTTTAGCAGAATCCTTTTAGAGGCTTCAGTCTCGGTAAATCCGTGCAATAAATCTTTATGAATAATATGATCCCGCAGTTTACTTTTCTGGCCTTACAAAAATATACTCTCCGTGTTTACACGTAGTTGTTGGGGCGCTTACGAAATTTGCATATGTAAATTCAAAGAGGGCCTTAAAACATAGACGTCAGGGCAGGTCGAATTTTCTTGGAAATATCTTTGCGATAACCATAGTATCGCCAATACCCGAATATTCATTGTACGATCACAGATACTCGTCAAACTCAACGGGATAGAAATTGTAATTGTAGCTGCATATTAACTTGATACAATTTTAAAGCTGGGGAATAAAATAAGAAAATTCGTAGGAATTCTTTGTGTCACTCTTAACGTGTATTATGTTACTATGTTTATTGTTCACACGGTATAATAACTCTATTTAATTACTCGTTTACTCGATTTATTTACCAAATTTTCTTCGTTCATTCACTCATTTACTCGATTTGTTTACTCAGTCTGTTTACTCATATACTCGATTATTTTTACTCGGCTACTCATTTTATTCACTTGTTTAATCGATTTTTTTACTTGTTCACTATATTTATTGACTCAATTTATTGAAAGAACAATATTGAAATACTCGTTTATTTGACTTGCTTCTTCGCTTCCTCGAATTATCTACTCGATTACTCGATTTATTGTACAAAGCCCAATGACATTATTATGCTTTAACATTTTTTGCTGTAGCTTTAAATCTCACAAATTGTTCTATCTTATGTAAAACGGCACACAATTTATTTTGATTTTTCTTGTCGTCATTTAACCGTGAAAAGCACCAACCAAATTTAAAGCCTGTAAGTTAAATTATCTGTCTTAATTAAATTATCATAATAATATTTTATTATCTTTAGTGATTATACTTTCATTAGTGATTAGACTTGGCAATCTGTTATTTAAGAATGATTAAAAAATGTTTTTTTTTTGGCATTTTGTAGCATTACAATGGGGGCTTAAAAATCAATTGTTCATTTGTTCGAGGTATTTTCTTAACCACTAAGAATAATGATTTTAAATTAAATTCCAAAGTGACAAACGGAATATACATTTTTAAAATCGTATTTTTTGCCACTTAAATATACGCAGAAGTCGTTTGAATAAAAAAGTAATAATATAAAGTAAATGATTCGGAATTCAGATAATGCTCTTAGCTCTTTTGTTTTAACTTTGGAAAACTTTGGACTTACCGTGTAGTTTTAATTGTTTTGAAATCGAATAATGAAAACAATAATTGATAAAATGTTAATTTTAAATGTACTGAAACGTTTTTAAGATAAGACATTTTTATTAACAATAATTTATAGTAGTGTCTGTTTAAAGTGATAGCATAATATATCCGATAAATCTTAAAAAGTATTTCAAGCGGAAAAGAAACATAATCTTTATCACTATTGATAAAAATCCCAGTGTTGAATAGTAATCACAAAAGTAAAACTGTTATGTATTCACTGTTTAATGAAAGTTGCGTAGCTTGTTATTTTAAGTTAGCTAAGATATGTAAGAATTATACCTATTAACTTGAAATTATTATAAGTAACTTTAAAGGAAATTTTCTTATTTTGGAATAATGATTTAAATCTGCTTACAACTGTATAAAATATAAGTAAATACGCTTTTTTCTTTCAATTGCGAGACGTTACACTTTTTAACTACTCTATAAATAAACTTAAGTAGTACATATTTTTATTAAAACAGTTTTTTTTTAACAATTTCAAGAAGGCCCAATTTTATTTTGCTTTGTAACGAAGCATAGATTTTAAAAAGTAACGGTTTTTTCATTGCATTCAAGTTAATTATTTTCGTAATAATAATATTTGAAGATTTATGTTTATAACTAAAATATGGTGACGGAGAAATGTGATAAAAAGACCTTCGCACAATATTTTTCCTGTGGTAGATAATAGCTTTGTATTTGTCAACACGTCCCAGGTGAGATATGCTCTAAGGGAAACGCGCACATAAATAACTGTCGTTACTTTTTTGTTTTTATTATTATTATTTATTTTCACATGTACGCCGCCTTTGGGAATGTTTTAATTTACATAATAAAATTAAACTTAAGAGTCGAGACACGGTTATGGCGTTGGGTTTACTGTGACTGGTGGAAAAAGTAATTTCTGGAGAATTGATTGTTCATAGGAAAACGAATGTTGCATAGTTTGTTCAGGTTTTATAACACTAAAAATAGGTAATGCTTTTCAACAATACTCTCCGTTGGGAGTGAACATTTCTCGAATTCTCGAAACATTTCTTTGAATAAAAAAAACCCGTATGAGTAAAACACTATTTTTTTCTCCGACGGTTGAAAAGTTCCTCCTTAAGAAAATAGGACTTGTTCATTGGCTGTTTCTTTTTCTTTACGGTCTGAGGAAAAAATCTACGCCTCTCCCTCGAGATTCAAAACACGTTTAGTCAGCATTAGGTATGCAGTCGGTTTAAACTTCAAGCCGCCTGATTATGCTGATACAAACAAAACGTGAACGAAAATAAAGTTATCTACCTTAAAAGGGTACAAAAACAGTAAAGGTATAATAGGTTATACTATGTTATTACTTAGTGAATACAATTTGTAGGGAATAGGATGCTATTCCCTACAAAATTCGAAAGAGGGTACAACTTTACAAGTATAATGAATTATAAAGTAAAAGATAGTTAAATTTATGACAAATAGTTCGACGTAAATCGGAGATTTTTGATTATATCAATAGATCAATCGGCGATCATCACTTTTTACTTATCACCATTTCTTAGAGATTCAAGAAACGTGTTTGATATAACATTTTTGTATAAGAATAATTACATACACGGGAAAAAATACATTGTTGGTCTAATTAAAATAGTGGTTAATATAAGGACACAATACATTTTTAGTTAGAATAACTAAAACCACGTGGTTAGCCGAACTACATTTTTTGTTGCTTTTACTGAACATTTATTTGGCCCAACTATTTACTTAGTTATTCTAACTAGAAATTGATTATGTCTCCTATATTAACCATAAATTTAGTTGGACCAAGTATGTATTTTTTTCTGTGTAATTTTATCATTATTAAACCGAGTTTACGCATTGTGACTAATAAAGCTATCATTTAACTTCACCCTCGTAATGATAAAAATATAATAAAAACAGCTAAGGTTATTAAATGGAGTATATTTTATTTGCCACTATGTAGTAAAATTTAAATCAAGTCCAGAACTCTTTATGGGCTTTAGCCATTTTTTTTGCTGCTAAATAGCCTAGTCAACGAAAATATTTGTTCAAAATTAAATTGCTCCGAATGAATATAATGACGGTATTATCCTCGGTAACGATAATTTTATTCGACTTTTTTTTTTTTACAAAGTTTAGGTATGTGGTCGATGTATGTAACTCGAAGGCCAGCGTTATTAAAAAAAGTATCGTAAAAAAAATACTTTAACACCGTCTATCGAACATCGATCAATATTTATATGCTTCACTTGAGCTTTCCTCTATTATCTGCTGAATAGATTAAATATAGGCGTGGGAGTCATTAAGGAATTGATGATAAAACAAAAATACAAGTCTGTATGCAGTTAACATAATTCAATTTGTGCAAAAACGTTCATTGTAAAAATAACTATAATAAAAATCGATTAATATTATATATTTGGGACTACATTTAGGAGTAATTTTCGTACTTGTTAATGTTATAGTTTATTGACATTTTAAACTAAAATAAATTTATTTTTATGCCACCAAATCTAAGTGCTGTGACATATATATTCACAGTGAAATAATTACACCCGCACACACAAACCATTTTTATGTATTTTTTTAAAATACAGTAAGCAATTTATCAACATGGCGTTTAAAACTGCCTACGGGCAAGACATACTACTAAATCATTTTCACAGTTTTTTGACTTCTGGGTAGTCAAGGTCTAATTATACAAATTAAAACGAGCTGGCACACTGAACATAATATTCAAGTTTGTTATCAATGCTATCTTTACATAATATTATTTTTTATTATTACTTTATGTAAATATTAAACCTTTTTAAGGTAGTCAAAAGAATTCAGTGGAAAATTTGTGTTACAATTTTGCCACGTACAGTGGTTTTCTAGTTGTGTAAGAACAAATTGTCTTTAAGAAAAAAATAAACTTTATACATCTTGGAAAACCTTAATGGCACGTGTTCAGCATACAAAAGAAGTTGTGTGTTACGTTGTGCAACAGCAAAAAATGTATATCCGAGTTATGACCTAATTTATAGGCAACTCTTCTTTATTTTATTTTATTTTAATATACGTAAAATACAGATATATACTTACATTGCAATTTTTCGTCTAAATTCCCTCTAGACGTCACTGATAATGCTTTGATGAACTCTTCGAATTCTATCGAACCATCCTGAAAAATAACACAAGTTTACAGTACAGATATAATTTTTTTTATACTCGAGTGAGAATACAAAAAACGTAACCAACCAATATTAATTGATAAACGTTTTATTTATTTTATCAAAACTCATAATTATGAGATAACATTTTCGTCCGTTTCATTTAACAATAATTTTGTCCGTTAACAAGTAAAAAAAGTATAATTTTCCATAAATCTAAAGTTAAAATAAAAAACCTTTAAGACAGAAGTAGAGAATTAAGGCTCCTTTCCGCCAAAGTGTGCGTCATAATGTTTATTCATAATTTTTTTTTTTTTTTTAGAATTTCTGAGAACATTTCAAAAAGTATAATCTATATTACTGTACAACGTGTCTACGGTAGAACGAAATTGATTGATTTTTTTTTTTATTGTTGCAGGGAAGGGGGTATTTATGTTTCCATCAAAGTTGAATGTTGTTCGGGTTTTGTGCGAGCGAAGGCACAATATTTATTGGCACACGGGCATAAAATATTATTTGTTATGAGATCTGCGGTGGTAAACGACCTTCGGGTTGATGGGGAGGGGGGGGGGGTCCACGTTATATTATTCGCCAGCTATACGTACAGCACCGAAGTTGTCACTGCGACATGGTTTTTTTTCATTGTACATACTAATAATAATATATTTCATTTGGGTACACCCAAAGTACAATAATATCGCGACAGGTGGCGGCAGGACGTGTACACGGGTACACCGTGACAGACCTTGGTCGTCCTACAACGAGAAACACGTAGCACATCGGATGCTGTATCCCGAAAATAATTCCCCTCGGTAAAAAAACCCCTTTTTTGTGGTATGTACATTGTGCTTTTTCAGGACTATAATATCTCACGTCGGCCACCGCCGCAACAAAAGTGAATTACAGTGGGAAATCTCCAGCGGACCCACTTGAACCGTCGTCGTGGTAGTTCCCGTCAGTTGACACTTCTTAAGTAGGTATCGACAAAAAACCCACTACGAGCACCGTTATCTCTTCCCGTGTAAGTTGTGTGGCAACAGGTGATTGTTTTTGCCTCTGCGTTATGTCGATGTGCGACAGTGACGTTTTCAAATACTAAAATATTCTCCAACATTGGAAAATGTGTTTTTTTGTGGCGTTATATTTGAAAATGTGTAAAACGTTTTTATATTTTAAAGCATTACATGTTGTACTTATACCATTAAACCAAACGCTAGACGTTCATATCGATTACCATCGACACTCGTTTTCGTTTTCTATTACATTCATTAACTCGTGGTTATTTATAGCGACTGACGGTTGTCGAAAACAAATTTAAGTTTCTTTTAATTGGGTTTCTATAAATAACGCTATATTCAGTTACAAACACGATCAAATTTAGTTTTTCGTATGCACAACAGTAATGGGTTTTTGAGGTAAGCATACGTTTATTTTAAATTCTAGTACATATTTTGCCCTCATATCTCGAATAAGGTACGTGACAGGTATACACATTATGTTAACATAAAAAAAACTATCTAAATTAAACATTGAAAAAAAAAACTCGAATTTGTTAAAAAATAACTCAAGTATAAGTAATAGCTTGGTCGGTGGTTAAACTATCATAAGTGATAATATAAATAAATTTAACGATTTAATCAATTACCTAAATGTATTTTATTATTCAATCGGCTTAAATTTTAATGAGTGTTATTACTTAAAAATTACAACTGTGGAGATCGAACGAATGCGGTTTTCCTTTTTGGTGAATTCAAATCAACCTTTTACTTAATATCATAACATTATATTATATTTTGACGGAGTTTATCTTGAGAATAAAGTTGTCCACACAATAATGTTGTAAACTAAGAACGCGACTATAGTATTATGTTTTTCGTTTATATTTTATTTATATGTAAAAAGACATTATATATATCTTTGTATATAAACTATTGTTGTACTATTTCCAAGTGATCAAGAGTCCATATTATTTAGTTGAATGTGTATTAATGGTTGTCAAGTATTTCAGGTGGTCTGTACATTATGTTTATATCGAGTGACGCTTTCCGTTCATACCATTCGTTTGGGTTAGAAATTGTAAGCATATATATATATATATATATATATATATATTTGTATCCATATGATGTTCACCCTCGGTCTGAATCGAACTAATGTAATGTAACTTGGGTTGTTGTTCTTGTGTCGATGTATGGGGGGGTGGCGATATCTGGGCTCGTTCTAATATTTCTCAACTGGCGCCAATTCCAGAAATGCATTATATATCGCCAGTGACGAGAACGAGAAGCTCGTAAATCCAAAGTTATTCTTAGAATTGAACTTATTGGAAACCGGGAAAAGCCCGCGGTGATTTACCCCCCGAACGCAATACAAAATAATGGCCTTATCATATCAACTCGGATCGCTCCACAAAATAAATGTCATTCGGAAATAGGAGTATGCGATAGAAAGCGCACAGTTGAAACGTACACAGTTTTTGACCACTTCGCCTATTGGCCATATTGTATAGGTAGGTAATATGTAAATAGTTTCAGTACAAACGAATGATAGGGTAGTTCTTAGTAGTAGAGCCTCGCTTTAGAGGTACAGTTTTTCCGCACGAAATATTTTAAGGTAGAGCCCCTAAAATTTTTTATACACAGATAAAAATAACGTTTGTAAAATTTGGTCACGATTGACGCGTCCCAAACAGGATGAAACATATGAACTTGGGGTACCCAGTTTTTTAGTTTTCTCTATTTATCTCAAAAGCTATCCTACTTAAATAGAAATGTAATGTACTTGTATTTTCCAATACATAAAAAATCTATTACTCAACAAGAAAAACAATAATGTTAACAATGTGTGCTATACCTACCATTCGATGGAGATACGGGAGTAAAAAAAAAAACAATAATGGTGGCTATAGCACACATTATATTCATTATCGATTTTCTTGTAAAGTAATTGAAGCGAGTTTTTGCAATAACATATTTTTACAGGAAATATGATTGTTTAATGTAAAAGTTGTGTGCACTTTTATCGCAATAGTAGAAAAGTTGATGAAATGAATAGAAAAAACCGAAAACTAAGCCAGATTTTAAATGTTCAACCCTTTAGGGGCACGTCTTAGGGTCGATCAACAACATTACACACCTTATTTTTATATGTATAAAAACAAATTTCAGTGGTCTTTGTGTGGAATCACCGAAAACAAAGACCACCTTGAAAAATGGTTAATATTTTGATAAAGTCAAAGTCAATATTGTAAACGAAACGTTAAACACCACACGCAGGCGATCGCGCTAAACAGTCGTTGTATACACATTATATTGTTTAAATTCCCGTTTGCTTAAACAATAACAGCTATTACACCATTGCCAGTATTCGAAAAGCAGATATTGAAATAAACGTAAAGGGTTGTTGAACAAACAAATACCACTCTCTTCTCCTTGGCTAATACAAATATTGAGATTGAATGTCAACCTACGTTTGTACGTGGAAACGGCATCGTTTTTCATATACCATATTTCCCATGTTGAAGCTCGTGACGTGTGATTGAAAAGCATTATAATATGGTGATAGAACAATTGGGTTCGATTAAATAGGCCGGAATATATTCTCTAAAAAAGAGAGATGAAATATAAATTATATTATATTTATGTCAATCTTGGTTTTTACTTTACCAAGAGACCGCACTTGAAAGATGATCAGCTTAACTATACATACATATTTTTTGTCACGAAGCATATTTGCGAAATAAAAATGTTCGAAGCTTGTATTACACGAATTAGTAATTTAGGCTCTTTTTCAGTCCAACAAAAAAAAGTTTAAATTATTATCATCTACCGAATTTTTATTATATTATATTAGTGTTGTTGGTCTACTAAGTAATGCACAATACTCGAAATACGACCAAAAAAGGTTTTATGGGAACATTTTTTTTAAATAAAACTATTTATAACTAACGGTTGATTAAATCTTATTTTATAGTTCAATAATTATAGTACTTGTTATTGTACAAGTGCACGATTCTGTCGAGTATTCCTAGTTTCTAACGTTGCTTGAAAGTTATAAACGTCTAATCGAATTTAGCTGTGTTTTCGAACATTTCCGATACGAATTCAATTTGAATCCAATTTTGCATTCTGCTCTCAAACACCTGCGACATAGAGTGTTATTATTTAATGGGAAATCGTCTATTGTTTCTAATCGTACAGGAGAGTTATTATTTACTGTGTTCACATTTGATTGTATATTATTTCATTACTTATCTCGCTTTTACAATAGTTTAGCTGTATTAATTTCGGTTAGGTGTTTAATTAAGCTTGTAACATAAAGAAATATTAATTAAACTAATGTACCTTGTGTGTTACGAGTTCTAGTTAAAACATCATAAATATAATTAGAACATCTTTAAACATGGCATGTTTTAAATCAGAATTATTATCTAATAAAATTATTTGTAAATTTTTAATCGTTTTTACTTAAGTATATTATACTTCATAATATACCTACAATCTTCTTCACTCTTCTAGTGTAGGTATATTATTTGCCGTTCGCTTAAATTAAGTTTTGTCGGATTGGCTTCATAATAATTATTTACACCCGTCGGCTGTAATTAATTATTAATAATGATATTATACCAGTTCGATTATGCATAATATCAAAAATTATAATATAAATGTTACATAATTTAGGGGTAAGTCACGTTTTCATAACAGTTTGACTACCCATACAAATTGTTGAAAACAATTGCATACAGTTCATAGAAGTTACTATCTCATTCGCCCGTCTATTTTAAGCATAAACTACTTAAAACTTTTTTGCTTTACTACCGGATGTCGGACATTCAAAAGTCAGATTTACAAAAAAAAAGATGAATCTTACTATTTTTAAGTATAAAAAATGCAAAATGTGTAAATAAACGTCTAAATAGAAGTACAGTACATAAGAAAAATGTTTAAAAACTATTGTTTACTATAGCCTAAGGAAATGTATGAAATTAAAACTATTCTTGAATTTTGTATAT